CTGGAGAAGGATATCATGTTTGGTAAGGTGGAGGGTCAGAGAAAAAGAGGAAGACCCTCCAACGAAATAGATTGGCCAAGTGGCACCATCGATGGACTCAAGCATGGCAACAATAGTGAGGTTGGCCCAGGATTGGACAGTGAAGTTTCGTTCTGCTGTGCATAGGGTTGTATGAAAGTATCAGTCCATGAAAAGTTGACGGTCACCTTTGTGTATCTCCTCATCCAGTGTCTATCTAACTCGTTTAAAAAGTGCTTATTTGTTCTCCAGTAGTGTTGTAAATGCTTTACAGATATTTACTTGTTTAGTCATCATAACTCTTGAGATAGGTACTGTTGTTTTTCCTGTTTCACAGATTAGCAAACTGAGGCCTAGAGAGGTTAAGTGTCTCAACCAAGGTTAAGTGGTAGAGCAGGAGCTTGAACCTAGGTGCTATGGCTCCAGAGGCCATTTTCGTAACTACTATGATAGTCACTCTGGTAGCGTAGTGGTTACGAATCGGGCTGCGAACTTAAGGTCAGCAGTTCGAAACTACCAGCCGCTCCGTGGGAGAAAGATGAGGCTTTCTACTCCCGTAAAGATTTACACCCTCGGAAACCCTGTACAGGGTTGCTATGGGTCGGAACCGACTCGATGGCACTTAACAACAACAACAACAATGATAGTAACTGGTGTGGTGCTATGGGTTAATATGCAAAGTTGGTTTGAACTGCAGAGTAGGTGGTTCAAGCTCACCACCTGCTCCTCGGAAACCCTATTCAGGGTTGCTATGGGTCAGAACTGACTCTATGACACTTAACAACAACAACAGTGTGATACTCCATCAGCAGTCAATCACTCAGGATTCACGTTTTATATTCCGAGGTCTTTTTAAAATGTACAACATTTTTACTGGTTTATTATTATCTATCATGTTTCTCAGTAGAAGATGTTATTAGCATGTTGGGTAAATAAGGTATCTGCATAGTATTCCTGCCTGCCTAACCCAACTCAATGAATGTCCTGTCTCTCCAGTCATTTTGATGTTATTAAAAACTCATTCTGTTTCTGTTATCTTCCACTGGGGTTACTTCCATTGGGGTGCTCCTCTGGTTGAAAACCTAGAGATGCTGAACATGCTGTCTTAGTAATAAATTTCTTTCTTCTATTGGAATCTGCTTTCTGTCATCTGTTGGTTGGTTTTAGATCTGTGTTTCAAAACTAGCAAAGTTGTCATTGCTGAGAATATACACAGCAGAACATACGTCAATTAAATTGTTTCTGCATGTCATCAATTAAATTGTTTCTACATGTCCAGTTCATTGACATCTATTACATTCTTCAAGTTGGACAACCATTTTCACCCTCCTTTTCTCAGTTGTTAGCAACAACTTCTGTCAGATCATTTATTTGTATAGGATTCCTGGAAACGTCCTCTTTCTGCCTGTTATTTACATCATGTCAGTATGCTTTAAAAAATAATAATATGGAACCCAGTGAGACTATTAAAGTTGGCAGTTCAAATCCACCAGCTGTGCCTTGGAAACCTGGTCACTGTGAGTCAGAACTGCCTCAGTGGCACTTAACAGCAAAACAAGACAGCATAGTAGATTGCAAGCTGGGCTGCTAACCACAAGTTCAGTAGTTAGAATCTACCAGTTGCACTTCTGGAGAAAGATGAAGCTTTTTGTTCCTGTAAATACATACAGCCTCAGAGACCCTGTACAAGGTTGCTATGAGTTGGAACCAACTCAGTAGCACACAACCACAACCACTACCAGCACAAGTCAGAGCTGACTCGATGGCACTTAATAGCAACAAGACTAATACTATTTATTATCGATTCTGTGATTCAGTTACCAATAACCTAGAATTACTTTGGTAGCAAATTATACTGTTAATTGGCTTTGCACTTGTTATGGATTGAATTGTGAGAGAAAGAAGCCTTCCCTGTTGCCCTGAGTTCGGACTCCTGGTGTGGTGCTGTGGGATAATGTACTGAACCGCAAGGTTAGTATGAACTGCAAAGTTGGCGGCTGCTCCTTGGAAACCCTATACCATAAGGTCACTATGAGTTGGAATCGACTCAACAGTGCTTAACAATAACAACAAACTGAGAAAATAAATTTGTTTATTAAAAGTAATTTACTTGTGGTATTTCTGTTACAGCAGCATTTGTTAAGTGCTGTTGAGTTGGTTTCAACTCAGCAACCCTGTATAAGGTTTTTGAGGAGCAGCTGGTGGGTTTGAACCGCCAACCTTCTGGTTTGTAGTCCAGTGCTGATCCTACAGCTCCACACCAGGAGTCCAGTAATAGCACTGTTGTTGTCAGGTGCCATCGAGTCGGAACCGACTCATAGCAACCCCATGCACAGCAGAACGAAACAATGTCTGATCCTGGGCCAACCTCA